GTGAGTGTGTATGTGTGTTTGAATATCTGTGTGTATGTGTGTGTGAGAGTGTGTATGAATGTGTGTGAGCGTGTGTGAGAGAGTGTATGAGTGTGTGTATGTGAGTGTATTTGAATACGTGTGTGTAATAGTATGTGTGTGAGAGAGTGTGTGTGAGTGTATAAATGGATGTACACACACACACTCACACACTCTCTCTTTCTTTCTTTTTTTTAGTATTTCTATATTTCAGGAATATAAGCCACACCTAACAATGCGCTGATAGTAGTGGGATGCATGCGTAGAGAAGGCCGCTGGGCAAACTCACACTTTCTGGCCAGTGGAACTCTTTTCTTGGGGTCACGCCTCTTGCTGCGCGTGCTCTCTTGGCTGGCTGTCTTGCGCCTCTCTGTTTCTGCGTTTGTCTTTGGTGCGTGCCTCTCTGTGCTCCAGGTCAGACGTGCGCTCTCCCATTGCTCCAATCCCTTCAGGGTTGCTCTCAGTGGTGGGGGGAGGGGTGTAGCACTCTCTGCATTCACCACCCACCTCCTCCCCTGCTTCCGTTTCTATAGTTTTATCATTTGCAAAGACCATATACATTATCTTATTCAACCCTGACATTAACCCTTAGCCTCATTTTACAGATGAGAAAACTGAGGCTCTGAGACATTGAATAATTTGCTCATGGTCTCACAGATAGTAAGTGTCAGAGGTGAAAGAACTAAGAATTTGAAACTTTGGGACCCAGCTTCAAATCCCACATGTGCCTCTTACTGCCTGTGTGACCTTGAACTAATCAATTAACCTTTCTGGATGTCATTTTCTCATCTGTAAAATGGTTGACTGGTCTCAAAGATCACTTTAAACTCTACATCCATAGTTATTATTTTTTCAAATATTATTTCAAATTTAGTTTCATTATCCAATATGTCACCCTGCCTCTCAGATATGGACTTAAATAATAGCTTTGTTTTAAATAATAGACTTCGAGCCAGAGGAGACACAGGTAGCATCTATGCTGACCCCCTCACTTTACAGATTAATGAACTGGAGCACAGAGAGGTGAAATGATTACCCAAGCTCCCAGTGAATGGAGATGGTATTGCTGGGATTCGAATTCAAGTTCACTGATTTTCAATCCTGAGCCTTTCACTCCCTGCCAGGCTGCCTTCCTGGTAGATCTGTCACAGGACATGATGAATGTGAAGGAGCTTGTAAGCCTTAAAGGATGGTGTACATTACATATGGATCTTCTATCTACATCTACATCATCTGCGTCTGTGTCTGTGTCTGTGTCTGTATACATATCTGTGGCTGCATCTACATCTTTGTGTATGTGTCTGTGTCTATATCTATGCCTGTGTCAATGTCTTTCCTATTCTGATACTTCATTATGGAGTGGAGGTGATCTTATATTCTCTAAGGCCATGTAAGGAGAATATAGCTTTTCTAACATCTTACCAGTTGAGAAGACTTCAAATGATGGTGTGTTTTTATTCTGTATACCTGTCATCCAAGGACAAGGTTGTACAAAAGTGCATTTCTGGGAGTTTGACCCCCAGGTGATGGACTTTTAGGCTATAGCAATGTATGGAATGTGGAGCAGCCATTATCTCTGTCAAAGGCAGGTGAAGCCGCAGAGATGAAGTCAGGTATCTTATGAAATATCAATGTGGCCTGTTTAACATTTTATTGGAGAAAGGCGTCAAGGACATGCTTATCAAAATGGGAGCTAACACAGAGTTGGAAGGGCTGCATAATACACTGGAGGACACAATCAGGATCCACGATTTCAGCAGGCTTTTACAACAGTTAGGCTGGTTCTCATAAGACAGAATTTGGTAAGGCTAAATGTCTCTCACTGGAATTCTCAACATAGACTCCACAAGTGTGAGATGGAATAAGATTCATTAGCACTTTGTCTGAAAGCAGATCTGGGGTTTTAGAAGACTCTCTCAGCTCAACATGAGTCAGCTATGTGATATGACAGCCAATAAGCTTATGGTGCCTTGTGCTACATTAAAAGGGACAGAGCTTGCCAAAATAAGGAAGTGGTGATGCTGCTGTCCTCTGCCCTGGTCCAGCTGTATCTGCAGAGTTGTGTTCAGTTTGGGGGCGCCATATTTAGGAAGGACATTGATAAACTGGGGGACACCCAGGGAAGGCAACCAGAATGTGAGGAGCGTTGAGACGGAGTCATATAAGGGTCTGTTTAAGTATCTATTGGGTGTATTTAGCCTGGAGAAGCAGACATGATAGCCGTGTTCAAGTATGTAAAGGACTATTGTATTTCACTTAGCCCCAACCACCGACATCAGGAGCCATGGTTGGATATAACCAAA